GATGTAGCAAAACCGGTGTGCCACACCTATACGGCATAAGGCGTTGTACAATGCTAGATGCTTAGTGAGGTACTTAGAAAAATAAATCTGATTTTTCTAAAGCACCAGCGCTTATTTCTACGGAAGAGATGCCTTTAAAAAAGGCTGATTCATTTCTCTACACCTCCCCTAAACATGTTGCATTTTACAAGGTCTAAACGCATTGCACAGAGTTGTTGTTCTTGAGTCGCACAGTCTCCACGCCGTGACCCGACAAGACAAGAGCTCGGTGGATTGGGACCGTCGATTCCTGATCGGATGGAACTCAACGGCATGCCGTTGTGCGCCTATAGTGTCGTTCCCCAATCCGTTTCCTCCCATGGCGGCACAAATCACAGCTCCGATTCTACCCCTGCTTCCTCCCCCGTGCCGTCGCCCGCTCCCGAGCCTTGGGGAGCTAAAGCCGATGGGGCCTTCTCGCACCAGATCCCGTCGGCTCGTGGTCGCCTGCGCAGCCTCCGGCGGCGGTGGGCCGCCGGCGGAGAAGCCGCCCCAGGGACCCTCCCTGCCGCCGCTGTCGGAAATACGTTGGGGGCAGCTGCTGGCGCCGTCCCCGGACAACGCTGCGGCCGTGGCGCTGACGGCCGCGCTGGTATGGGCCGGCGCAACTCTGCTGCTGCAGCTGGTACTCATCTCCGCCTCCATCTTCGCCGCCGCCCTCAAGTACTCCTTCGTCGCCGCGCTCCTACTCTTCGTCCTCATCGCGCTCCTGTGAGTGGTGCGTGCTCCCTCCTTCTCATCCGTCCACCCCTGCACGCGCTTTGCAAAACATTTCCTAATTATTCTAGCTGGAAACATTTCCTAGTTTTACTTGTATGTGTTTAGCCCACCGGACTAAACTGCGTCAATATTTCATTCGCCGTTGTGGCATCTTGTGTCATGTGCAACTTGCAATGAAATATATGTATATGTATACTCAGCAAGGACTAAGGACTTGTTTTGAAACGTGAACTCGCTGACAGTTTAGTTCAATTTTGCTTGATTAAGATAGTTTTTAACTCGACACAAAGCAATGCGTGGTACTTACAAGGTCAGAGGCCAAAAAAGAAAACAGATGATTGTGATTGTCTATAAGTTTTTTTTCCTACTAGTGGACCAATTGAAGAAGTTAACTTATTTGCATCATTCACACAGTCATGTCAAGTACATTTTAATTCATGAGAAATCCGATAAACATAGAAATCCAATAACGGCCAAACATTCGGGATTTATCACCCTGGCAAATCGAACGTTTTCAATGGCAAGTTTAGTGACGCGAGGACGACAACTTTAGTTGGCAAGCATGTCAACTTCGTGTTTCAGTTTAATTTTGCCAGAAAATTGTTGTGTGTGTCAAATAACTTGTCATCCATGCGTCAGTAGAATTGCCATAAAAAACATTCGGTTTGCCATGGTTAAATTCCGAACATTCGGGATTTATCATTTCCATATATATATTCTGGAGGCACACACCAAAAGACAGTAACGAGGGTAGTTCACGAACTAGTTTGTAAAGAAACAGTTTTTGTTGTTAACTTGATGTGTTGAATATGGCGATCCAACAAATATTGAGTGCATACTCATGATTTCCTTTTGTTCTTTCACCTGGACATTGAACAAAAAGGATAATCAACAACCATATCATCTGCAACTTTTTGCACGTTTGTTTACAGGAACAGTAAGAGAGGGCCTCAGGGCCTTACTAAGCATTTTTGTCCATCTACAATAGAACTGTTCGGTGTTGTGCTGATCTTGCCTAATAATATCATAATATAAATTCTTGTGCTTATAACGATGGTCAATATTGTTAACCCACAGAAAAAGTGCAGCAGATATACTGGTGCAACCTCGTCGTCCGCACGACACGAGGCCAATGCCACCACAGTTGCCGAACTCTCGGGCACGCCGCCCCGACACCTACCACTTTGGCAAACCAATTGCATGATATAAAGAATGTCCTCCAATGACACCATGTGCAAGGTTCTAGGCCGAGTGCATGTTCTTATGAAACAAATACTGACTATAGAGGTTTTCCATATGAACATGGGAAGCGCCATCTAGCGGGTAGATGTCACCAACGATGTCAAGATGCTCGATGATCCATAATTCTCCCTAGTCCGACGAAGATTGATCCGTCGAGCGTGAAAACCAAACAACCCTTGACTTCCAAGAGAAACAAGCCAAGACCAGGCAGAGATATGAGACCCCCGCGCATAATTAGTCTGACTTGTAGCCGCAAGGAGACAACCGATAAGGAGGCAAAGAGATCTCAACATCGATAGAGTTGACGAGAGGAGAAGAAATCCTACTGTAGCATCCCAAGATCGGCACTATGCAGATCTAGCAACCTCCACTACCTTCCGCATAATATCAATCCTAAGGCGCCACCTTACATAACATGCACACGGTAACATGCACGTTATGCAAGTGGAAAGTTAGCAACACAGTTCACAAAAAAATCCGCAACAACAACAAATATATAAACAACAATTTTGGAGAGTCAAATTTAATGAATTATACCTTAGACATATAAGTTTAACAAATTGCCTTATGACGGCTTAAGAAATGTAAAGGATATCCATATCCCTGCCCAAACCACAACTTTCAGGATAACCATCTAATGACGTCCTCTAACAAACATGTTCCCGAAATGAGCACAATCATCTTCTTTATTCCCATCATTATTATTTTTCTTATATTTCCTACATATCCTACATCGTACATGTCCTAATTTCATATCCAGTGGGCAACCTTCCACATACCATTTTGGTGACATAGGATGTATCTGCAAGATATCAGTCCAATTCCTATAGTTTATTGTTTGAAGAGCAGCAAAAATGTTCCAACTTTTAACTTTGATAGCAACAACCAGTTACTCAATTCTATCATTTATATAGAACAAACATCAGGTCTAGCTTGATCATATTTGTTACATAAATGGACCTCTCATGTCCTTACTAGATTGTTATCTTTGGAAGAAGGCATAATCTTACTTAAAAGACAATAATTATTTCTATGTAGAAGTACGCTGCATAATTTGACTCGTTCTCATGTTTATTTCTCCCCCTGATTAATGTTTGACAATGTTGTAGTGCACCCTAGAAATGAGATTATTTGTGTTTTCGTTGTATAGCTTGATATGATTTAAACACCTGAAATTAGTCTTTTTTTCATTTACTTTGGTGACATGGCCAGAAATTTATGAGAAAACGTTATGCCTCACTTATTCAAATAACCTCTATCAATTTTGTTTTTGTGTGCCTCTTAAATCATTAATTTGTTAATGTGATCATCATGAATTTTTAGATATGTACATAACTCTTTCATTAACTAGAGAATACCCCGCGCGTTGCTGCGGGAATCGATTGCAATATATCCCAGTGATTTGATTGTATGAAGCTTCCATCGTTGAATTAATTCTAAAGATAAATATTATATATTGTACTTGATTATTGTGTAGTCAGAAAATATTTTGAATATAAGTGGCATAATGTAATGGAATTTTTTTTCATGCATGTTGAGTGGACCTTGATGAGGTGGCATGTGTGGTGAGGTGAAAGGTGTGCATGAGATAAACTAATAATGAAAAACTTTTTCTCATGCATATAGTGGTGGCCTTTAATGAGGTGGTATGTGTGCATGTTGAGATAAATAAGATAGTGAGGATAGTTGTTGTGAAAATTATTGTAAAAATAGATATGTATTAGACAAATGAAATATAAATAATTTGAATATACTTGTTAACCAAACCATCTCTCAAGCTAAATAAATCCATTTCGTTAGACTGAAAAATGCACGGCTGTCTAGAAACATAAAAAAGATGGTTAGTAAAAGAAATCTAAAAAAATTGCACAAAGCCGAACTTAAGGTGTAGAACTGAAGAATTTCAATAGCAATCAGAAAATTATAATCTGTAATGATAATTACAGGACGGCACGTTCTTACTGCTATAGATAAGGTAATTAGCATTTGCGAGCACGACCACCAAATTGTCATTGTAGATAACAAATACAAAATCATACAAAAAATATTGAATATACAGGTTAGAAAAATAAATAATGAGTGGTCACTACTCATGCTTATCCATTGGAGTTACGACAACTTTCGAACAGGTTTTATCTTGTTTCACAATACAATTTTTAGGTCCATCCAAGACTAATAAGAATGGACGAAAAAATTATGTTGACATTCCTTCAAATGTTCAGACCTATACTTGTCAGCATTCTCTGTTACACATATATGCTAAAGTAACTCACGGCATTATCATATATGATTGCAAGACAACAGCGAACTTTAGGAAAAAGTAACCTGCAAACATCAAGATATTTTGATTATTTAGAAATACATTCAGCACACACCGGTATTTTCAAATAGTAGATGAACAGCAAAGAATATTATGGGCGTCATACCATCAAAAGATCTTTGCGTATTTTTGTAAAGTAATTTCTTCATATGTCTTTCTTAGTGATGCACGATGGTACAATCTCTGAAAAAATGATACTCCCTCCGTAAACTAATATAAGAGCGTTTAGATCACTATTTTAGTTATCTAAATACTCTTATATTAGTTTACAGAGGGAGTACAACCCTACTAACAAATCAGAGTAGTAGCAAATCTCCAATGAATTTACAATTCAAAACAGAGCAAAGTTGATAATTGATCTTTTAACGAAACACTAAATAATTAGTCTGGAGAATCAACCTGCACGGAAGGATATGCACGCACGCAAAGATTTGACAATACAATACCCAAACATTACATGAACGGCATAATGTACTCTTACTCATGGCTTCAGGAGCAGCCACTTAGGTAGTCAATTACTTGTGGGGAGTTGCAGCGTGAGTGCGTGAGTTTCTTCCACTCCTCGTGGCGCCAAGGGATCGTATCAATCTAACCACACATGTATCAGGTCCATCCGGCCGCAGATGCCAAGGTAGGGCTGGTGAGGCGTACCGTGTGCTGAAGTGAAGATCTTGATGGACTGGCCATGGCGAACAGAGAACGATGATGATGAGCGGACAGTTGTCGAACACAGCCAGGTAGGAAAAGGAAGGCGACACCGCGTGGCGGTGGTTGCGCGACATAGGCGGTCGTCTCCTATCGACGACCAAGTGGTCCTAGAAGCCTCCACACTCCGCCTCCTCCTCGAGATTTACCAGCAGGCGACGGGCATGGATCGTCGGGGCTCAAAATTCGTCGTCTCCAGCATGGTAAGGGCGAAACCTGATTACCTAAGATTGATGTGCTGTGGACGGAAGCTTAAAGGGGAGAAAAAAATCTGATGAAGATGGAAACTTAAAGGGTGAAATCGCTCCATTTGTTACGTACTTGTGCAATTATGTGGGGAAGATGAATACTAGTAGGATCTTGGAAATCAATGGGCGGGGGAGTTAACTGGGAGATGGGTGGGGGAGTTAATTGGGGAGGATTGGGTCGTATTAGCTACTCCTCTTCGTCATGCTGGGGGCAGCGGCAGAAAACATGAGGTGGCACGGTGATGACGTGGATACCCTGCATGTTGAGATAAATCCTATAGTGAGGACGAATCTCTTAGGTATATAGGATATGACAAGCGTAACAACACGTGCATTTATGGTGTAGTCATAGTATTATAATATGACCATAAGCAACAATAATTGGATATAACATGACTCGAGCAACACCCATACTACGACAAGGGCTAAACATGACAATAAATCAGGCTATGCACCAGATAGGTAATGAATACACACTAC